GAATGGGGCTCAAGAAAAAAAAAGAGTCGTAGTAAGAAGAACAAGGGGGAGCGAGCTCTACGGATAGCAAAGCGTGGCGGTATCCTCCCGTTTCTCCTACCTGCGTTATCAGCTATAGGAGCGTTAACCGGTGGTGCTGCTGGCGTGACTAAGGCCGTGAACGACGCCAAGTCTGCGCGAAAACAGCTGGAGGAAATGCAACGGCATAATCGTGCTATGGAAGTCGCGGAGTACATCTCGCGCCGTACAAACGCGGACGAGGAGTTTCAAAGAGGAAAAAAAAAACGCCAAAATTAAAATGCCCGAAGGTGTAACCACCAACGTACAACTACAGCATCTGGCAAAGCGTATGCGTATTCCATATTTAAGGGTATTTTTATGCGCAATACTTTGCCAACAGATGGGATACACAGGAACGAGAGCGGAATCGTAAATTTGGATACTTTCGGAGGACCTGCTACTCATTGGGTTGCGTACGCAAAACGGGGAACTCGCACCATATATTTCGATATAGGGAACTGATACAGTATTTCAAAAATAGCGTATATAATCACAGGCCTTATCAGCGCTATAATCAGAGCAATTGCGGACAGCTATGTTTGCAGTTTCTGCAAACGGTTGACAATCAATTTAAGGACGGTCAGTGCACGCTTTAACTCCAGTATTCGTTTGAACATGTCGCTGACGTTAACTCTCACCGGCCAAAGTAGCATTCTCGCAGTAAGCTATTTTTCAGCTATCGATCTGAGCGATGGTGATTATGAGCTCGGTCTTACGGATTTTGAGACTTATTACACCATACCGAATGTAAATTTGTTGAATAAAAAATTTTACTACGATAAAGATGATAAGCAAATCATTATTCCGGAAGGATCTTACGAGCTAGATGACATTCACATGTATTTGCGACGATCGCTTTCGCATGGTAATGAGGGGAACCCCTTGATACTTAGAACTAACAACAATACGATGAAGAGCGAAATCAAGTGCGATTACAGGATTAATTTTACCAAACCCAATACTATTGACTCGTTGCTGGGGTTTTCGACGAATCGGTTGCTGCAACCGCGAAAATGGCACGAATCGGATGCGCCAATCAATATAATGAACGTCAATATTACTCGCATTGAATGCAACGTGACGGCTGGTGCTTACACCAATAACAAGAGCGTGCACACGATACACGAGTTTTCGCCTACCGTTCCACCTGGATAAGATATCGGAAAAACCGACACAGATCATTTACCTTCCGATCACTGCACGAAGCATTTCGGATTTGATGATTCGCGTCGTGGATCTAGACGGTCAATTGTTAGATTTTCGAAGGGAACAGAACACCGTTCGACTGCATGTACGGAGACAACGGTCGTAGTGGGAGATGCTTGTATTGAACGAAGCGGAGCAGACGACACGTGAAAACACAGAGAAAACAATTCGATCGCCTGCGAAACGCACTGTATCGAATATTGGCGATCTAAAACCATTGGGCGAAAAGACAATTCGATCACCTGCGAAGTTGACTGCATCGAATGCTGAATTTCTAAAATGGTTGGGTTTCGTTGTACGAAATGGCTAATATCTGAAACATTGGAGGTGAACCGATCTTTGACGACAGCATCGTCAAGATTGAGACTCACACATACAACCCATACGCCAACACAACGTTTGAGCACAACGATGAGATACGAATACCTATACAACAGCAGGATTTATACACGTTACCATGCGAGAGCTTTCTATACGTTGAAGGAAGATTCAGAGTAAAGAAACCAAAGGAAGGAGTGGAAGCACACCTCGGAAACAATTGTGTCGCCTTTATGTTTGATGAAATTCGATATGAAGTCAATGGTGTGGAGATTGATCGCAACAGAAACGTTGGAATAACAAGCACTGTCCAAAATTTGGTGTCCCTAACATTTGACAAGTCGCTAATTTTACGGAATGCTGGACGGATCACACAGTCAAACATACCGATAGGTTACTTTAACTTTTGTGTACTGCTCAACATGCTGTTGGGTTTTTGCGAAGATTACAGGCGTGTAGTAATCAACGCTCGTCACGAACTCATTCTTATACGCGCGCGCAGTGATAATAATTGCATCATTGGAGATTCCACGCTGGAACCGGTGGTCGAATTATTAAAGATACAATGGCGACTGCCTCACGTCGTACTGAATGATACGAATGAACTATCGTTGTTGCGAATTTTAGAAAGCGGGCAATACCTAAGCATGAGTTTTCGTTCGTGGGACCTGTATGAGTACCATTTGTTGCAAAGTACGACAAAACATTCGTGGGCCATTAAAACTGCGACTCAGCTAGAGAAACCACGATACGTCATTTTTTCACTGGAGACTGGTCGAAAGAATATCATGTCTGAAGATGCGAGCAACTTCGATGCATGTAAATTGACCAACGTGAAACTTGATCTAAACTCTGACTTTTATCCATACAATGACTTGAATCTTGTCTTTGATAGAAACAGGTATGCTATTCTTTTTGATATGTATGCACGTTTTCGTAAAGGATATTACGGATATGGCTGTTACGAAACGCTTTGCAACACGGACAACTTTCTGTTGCATGGGCCGTTTGTAGTCATCGATTGCTCGCGACAGAACGAATCAATCAAGAGCGTCATCGTAGATGTGCGAATAGAATTTGATTGCAAAGAAAACGTGCCAGCAAATACTACCGCGTACTCTCTTATTTTGCATGATCGCGTCATCGAATACTCTCCATTGTCCAACGTTGTGCGCAAAATCACATAAACTGCAGCATCAGCAATATTTGTAATATGTAAGAGATGGACACCTCGCATTGTGTCGTAGTTTCAAAGATATCGTCACGATGGTACCAACGTTTGTTGACATACAAGGGTTCACCGACAGAACCAGGTTTATCGTAAAGGAAGTGGCAGTGTTGAGAAAAGGAACCGTTCTCACTCATTACATTTTCAAAAGCCCGTATCCATGGAATTCACTATCGGTAGCCGATAAATGTCGTACTTCTTGGCTGGCAGCAAATCATCATGGACTGTTGTGGGAAGATGGTTTCGTTCCATACAGTATGCCGAAACAATTGAATACAACGGCAATAGTCGATGACGATGCATGGCCTATCGCATATGTCAAGGGAAGCCAAAAACGTGACTGGTTGAAAAATCTACTTGATAGAAAACGTGAATGTAACTATTGGGACCATGGATGCTGATTACAAAGATATCGCGTGTTTGAAAAATCTTGATGTTACTAATACCATGCGATGCATAAACCATGCAACGAATTGCGCTTTACAAAATGTATTTAAATTATACAACTGGTGGCTGAAAGACCAGAAATAAAAATGTTTCTATTTTTTTTTTGTAAATTGACTGAATTGTTAGCATTAGGTTTAGATGGAATACAGTTATCAATAAAAATAAATAAAAAAAAAACTTGGATATATGCGTCTTTCTTTCTAGCGGATTTCCCCCCATATCATATTCTCATCCGGTGTAATGTTTGTCCACGACAAATGCTGATGCGTGCTCAATAGTTTTTGTTTCTCGCTGGATTGGATCGCTGTAACGTTTTCAAAAGCATTCGCAGTCTGACAGTGCTACGGACAAGGCGAGAAGTTATTCGTGAAGTGCCGCATTTATAAAACGAAAGTAAGTGAAACATAACAGTAGTGACCAGTTCCTGGCGTTATCGATGTGTGAAAGTGTTGCAGAAATTTTTTAAAAATACTAGATTATTAATATGTAGATATAGCATTTCACCAACAAATGTGTCATATTGATAACGCCACGAACTCGACAGTGAAATGGATATTCCTGAATGTGCCGTGAAAAGAAATATTAAAAATATCATTTCTTTTTTCTTATAGAAATGTCTGTATACAACATCACAACAACATTCCGGAAAACGTTGAGGAGATTGACTTCAATGGTGTATTGCCTGAGGAGCACCCCGAGGCTTATAGGTACCTCCTGTCAATGGGGTGTATGCGGGGACTGGAGGCGGCATTCGTCATCCCGGAGGCGGATGATTCCTTCTGAAGGAAGGCGAATCTGCGCCTCGTGTTGGTGGGAACTCCCGCCGGAGGTGAGGGTGCTCCACCCACCGTCCGGGGCGCATATGACGATCCCGCGGCTCCGTTTCGTTAATTTTAGGAATTGGGCGCGATGTAGGAGACAATTATACATGTGTGTATCTGCGGCGCGGTGCCTCGCATGCATTGCGCGACATTTCGTGTTCACGCCGATGGACCACTTTGCATTAAGGCAGGGGCAACCCGTTGATATCGTAGTTTTTTATTTTATTTGTATTTCTATTTTTATTTCATGTTTTTTATTATATTAATGTGTTTGTCATCGTCTTGATGCAAAGTGGTTCATTATTTTATTTCATTTCATTTTATTTTATTATAGTTTTTTATATGTATTTATATACATATTATTCATTTTTTATTATAGTTCCATATTTTATATATTTATCATTTTTTTTATTTTCATATATATTTTATTATTTTTGTTTCATTTTTTTATTATAGTTTATTAGTTTTATTTCATATTATCATTTTTTATATCATTTTTTCATATATATAGTTTTTAAATGTATTTTTATATTAATTATATTTATTGACTTCCATTGCCGGTGACAGAGTGTGTGAGTCGTGTGAAAGGTGTAAGGAAATTTGGAGGAAGGTACTGTGGGTATAGTGTGGTGGTAGTGAGGTAGGAGGGTAGGGTCAGGGAGTGGTGGTGAAGGGCTACTGGGGGAGGGTAGAAGATAGTGAAGGGAGTGAAGGAAGGGAGAAAAATCGGTGTGAAGGCTGAGCACGTGTCGTCAGAGGTTAGGTAGCGTGATAGAAAAGTAGAGCGACGGTAGCAACGCGGCGCGGAGATAGTGGGAAGGACATAGGAAGCGCGGGGATTGCAAATTAGAGGATAGTAGAAGAGGAGAAAAGGGAAGTGGAGGATAGTAGGATAGTGAGGAAACTGCGTCGAGAGGATAATGGAGGGCGAAGATGAGTGTGGAGGTGGGGTAGGGGTAATGGAGCGAGAGGGGAGCAAGGTGGAGGAGGCGAAAAGGAGAGGAAGACCAACGAAGGCAGAGGCTTGGGGTAGGGAAAGAACGGGGAGTCTAGGGAATATAGAGGATTTGCTTAACAGAGGAAAGAGGAAGGAGAGGGGAGGGGAGGAGGAGATGGAAGCAAGGGAAGTAGAGGAAATATTTAAAAGAAGTAAGAAAGTAGAAAGAACGCCAGAAAAGTTGGGGATAGGAAAAGCGGAATTGGAGCAAATGCTAAGAGGGTTGATGGAGGGAATGAGAAAAAATATTGGAGAGGATTTAAAGAAGGTAGGGAAGGGGGTGGAAGAGGGAAGAGAAGAAATGCTGAGGCAACTGAGCAAGATGAAAGAGAGCTGCGAAAGAGAAAGGGCAGAGCTAAGAGGGAAGATAGAAATGCTTGAAAAGAAAGTGGAAAGGTTAGAATTAAAAGAGAAAAAAGAGGAAGGAGGGGAGACAGGTGAGGAGGAAAGGAGGGAGTTGAGTAAGAAGGTGAGGAAGTTGGTAATAAGAATAAATAAAAAGGAGAGGGAAGGGAGAAGAAGGAATTTGATAATAAAAGGTGTGAAGGTGGAAGGAAAGGGGAAGGAAGAAGTGGTAGAAGAGATTTGGGGGAGGATAGGGGTGAAAGAGAAAGTAGAAGAAGTAAGGAGGATAGGCAAAGTGGATAGAAAGGGGAGAGGTAGGTTGAAGGTGAAGATGGAAGAAGTGGAGGAAAAGAGGAAGGTAATAACGGCAAAAAGGGAATTAAAAGGGAGGCCGGAAAGAATAGAAGACGATAGAACAGAGGAAGAAAAGCGGGCAAGGTGGAAGATAGAGAGAGAGGCGGAAAGAGAGAGAAGAGAGGGAAAGAGGGTACAGATTGGGTACATGAAGATATAGGTTAATAATGATTTGAGAGGGATGGAAAGAAGTGTAAAAGGAGGATATATAAGGAAGAAAGCAGGATATATAAGGTGGCGTTTTGGAATGTGGCAGGATTGAAGAACAAAGAGAAGGACTTTTGGGAGGGAATCAAAGAATGGGATGTAGTGGTGATGTGTGAAACATAGGTGGGAAGAAGGGAGTGGGAGGGAATAAGAAATAAAGCGACGAAAGGATATGTGTGGGAATTACAATATGCGGTAAGAAGAGGGAAGAAAGGACGGGCTATGGGGAGAATGCTTATAGAGGCAAGGGAAGGAATCAAAATGATGAGAGTGGAAAGGGAGGAGGAGGAGGAAGAGAGGATACTGGCTAGGAAAATATGGTTAAGGGAGGAGGTCTGAAATATGATAGGAGTATATGTGAATAAGGATTTGCAGAAGAAGGATGGAAGAAAGGGAGAAGGGGGTAAGGGTAATAGTGGGTGGAGATTTAAACGCTAGGACGGGGACGCAAGGAGGATGGGGGTCAGAGGAGGGGGGAGAGGAAGAAGAGACAAGGAGGTCGAAGGACAAGAAGATAAATAGTGAGGGAAGGAGACTATGCCAATTTCTGGGAGAGCTAGGGTGGGGGACAATGAACGGAGATGTGACAGGGGATAAAGAGGGCGAATTCACGTATACAGGGAATGGAGAGTCAGTGATAGATTATGTGCTAGGAAATGAAGACACGAGGCTAAGAACGGTAAGGTTGGTAGTAGAGGAGAAAGTGGAATCGGACCACCAACCAGTGGTAGTATGAATAGAGGGAGGAAAAGGGGAAGATGGGAAAAGATGGAGAAGGAGAAAAGGGGGGAAAGGGAAAAAGGCGTGGTGGACAGAAGACAGAAAGAAGGAATTTGGGGAAGGGTGTGTAGGGAAAGAAGAAAGGGGAAAAGAGGTAGAAGAGGTGTGGGGAGAATTGAAAAGGGAGGTATTACAGGTGTTAGAAAAGATGGAGAAGAAGTATAATAGGAAGGAAGGAAGAGATGCGTGGGATGAGGAATGGAAGAAGAAAAAGAATATAGCGGAAGAGGAATTGAACAAATGGAAAAGGGAAGGAGGAAGTGGGGAAAGCTTTAGGAAGGCAAGAGGCGAGTTAGGTAAAATGAGTAGAGAGAAGAAGAGTAGAGAAAAAGAGAGGTGGGAGAAGGAGATAGAAGGGATAAGAACAGAGGGAGAGGTATGGAAGATTGTCAATAGGGGAAGAAAGCGGAGGAATGGACTGAATACAGAAATAGAGATTGAGGCTTGGGACGAATATTTTAGAGGGGTGTTAGGAGGAGTGGGCTGGATGGTAGAAGGAGAAGAAAGAGGAGAGGAGGGGAGGATGAAGAGGAGGAAGTAAGTAGAGAGGAAGTTTTGGCGGTAGTAAAAAAGTTAAAAGAGGGGAAAGCAACAGGAGATGACGGAATCCCAAACGAAGTATGGAACTATGGAGGGGAAGTAGTAAGGGAAAGATTATAGGAAATTTGTAACCGAGTGTGGAGAGGGGAAGGCTGGCCACAAGACTGGTCGGAAGGAGTGGTAGTGCCAGTGTTAAAGAAAGGAGATGGGACAAGAGTGGAGAAGTACAGAGGGGTGACGCTTACGCAGACGGCATATAAGGTGTATGCGGGGGTGTTGGCGAAGAGGCTAAGGAAGGAGATAGAGGAAAGAGGGATTCTACCACCGAATCAGACAGGATTCAGGAAGGGAGTGGGGACAATGGATAACATCTATGTACTCAACTATCTAATGAACAGGCAGATAGCAAGGAAGGGGGCAAGTTAATAGTACTGTTTGTGGACTTGAAGGCAGCTTTTGATTCGGTGGATAGGAAGGTATTAGCAGAGTCGATGAGGAAGGTGGGGGTGAGAGAAGGGCTGGTGAGGAGGTGCGTGGAGATTTTGAGGTAGACGAGAAGTAAAGTGAGGGTAGAGGAGAAAAAGGGGGAGAGTTTTTGGACGGAGAGAGGGGTGAGACAAGGATGTCCACTAAGTCTAATGCTCTTCACGATTTTACTGGCGGATATGGAAGAGGTACTGAAGAAAGGAGGATGGGGAGGGGTGAAGATCGGAGAGGAAAAGATATACACGCTGGCTTATGCGGATGATATAGCGGTGGTGGCGGAGGATGAAGATGGAATGAAAGGGGTGGTGGCGAGATTGGAAAGGTACATTGAGGAGAAGAAGCTGGAGGTGAATGTAGGGAAGACGAAGATGATGAGATGTAAGAGTGGGAGTGGGAGGAAAGGGAAGGTGAAATGGAGGTGGAAGGGCAGAGAGATTGAAGAGGTGAAGAAATTTAAATACCTGGGCTACGTGCTAATGGCGAATGGGAAGCAGGAAGAACAGGTTAATGAGAGAGTTAAGAAAGGGATGATAGCGATGAGACAGGTATGGGGGACAGGAAGAAGGAAATTCGCAAAAGATTGGGGTAAAAGGGTATGGCTGTTTGACAAGCTGGTGTGGTCAGTTATGGGGTAGAAGTATGGGGATGGAAGGGGAGGGAGAAAATGGAGAGGGTTCAGGAGAGATTTTTGAAGCGGATATTGGGAGTGGGAAGAACGGTGCCAGGATACATGGTGAGGGAGGAGATGCAGAGGGAGTTGTTGGGAGGAAGGGCTGGTATGAGGGCATGGGGATATGAAAGGAAACTAAGTGAAGGGAACGGAGGGGAGCTGGCGAAGAAATGTTGGATGGAGATAAGAGGGAGAGCAGTGAGGGGTAGGGTTTTAGGAGAATGGGAGGAGGAGGGGAGAGAATTTTGGGAGGGAAAGGGGTGGAGTATAGGGGAGGTAGTGGAGTGGAGGGATGAAGGACGATTGAGAGGGGAGGAGATAGTAAGAAGGGAGAAAGAGGTGCAGAGGGAAGAAAGGTGAAGGAAGATAGTGGAGTCAAGGTACAATACATGGTATAAAATGATAAAAGGAGAGGGGGACCAAGGTATCTGAAGAAGAATTGGGAGGCAAAGAAGGTGGCAGTTGGTGGCAGGGTATATGTTAGGAGATAAAATGAAAGAGGGAAGGTATTGGGAAGAGGAGGATAGAAGGAGATGCAGGGTTTGTTGGGGAGGAATAGAGTCGTGGGAGCATGTATGGGAGGAACGTACGGACTGGGTTAGAAAAAAAGGGTGGCAGGAGGTTGTGACCGAGGTGCTAGGGGAAGAGGGGGAAGGGGAGGTGTGGATGAGGAGCGTGGAAGAGATGACAGCAAGGACGAGCGGCAGAAACGGAGGTCAGGAATGAGAGTGTGTGTGGGAATAAATGAATGGAATCTATCTCTCTCTCGCGCGCGCGCGCGCAGGTGTGAATGGAAGGAAAAGTTAGATGTAAGGTAGAGAAGTAAGACTTAGTATATAATTAGTGTTAAGAGGAAATAATGTAAGCGGAGCGGAGGTCCGCGTGTGCTCCGCAAAGAGAATAAACTATAACTAACTAACTATTAATTATATTTATTACAGTTTTATATTTATCATTTTTTCATTTTCATATTTTTATAATAAAAAAAATATTCGCGAGCATATGTTTGTGAAAATCAATGCCCACCTCCCTTATCTCCAATATTCTCATCGCCAACGAATGATGTCACCTCTACCGTTTCTTTAATATCTAGTTTTCGAGTAATTGTATTGCGTAAATAAAAGATTTGCTGCCGGATTGTAATTTGCAAACTTTGCGTTTTTGGATCTTCTGCTCGGGGCCATCATCGTGAGACGTTCCTACCGATGGCTGCGTCAAAGATTGTAATGTAATATTATATGTTGCACGGGGCATGAGTGCGAGGAAGAAAATACTCGGGCGCGAGAGAGAGGGAACCCGCGGGGCCCGAAAAAAATACCCCCACTCATGCGCGCGAAGAGGATGGTTTCCCCCACCCTCACGCGCTTATTTCGTTACATCTAAAATTTGCGTTTTTCTTTCTTACCGATCACTGATAATTACCGACCGGTGGTGTCCCCCCTCTACCTTAACGATCGTAGGTAATAATTGTATCCTACCTTACCGACCGTAAGTAATAATTACGGACCCCCCCACCACTCGTGCCCCCTCCCCCTCGCCCTCGGTTCCTCCCTCCCCACACCTCCCCTCGCCATTGGTTTGGAGCCCCATGGCTTAGAACCCGCCTACCTTTACTACTTAAATCTACTGTCTTGTCAAGCGTTTTTTGGAAAAAATTGAAAAAACAAAAATTTCCTGCCTTTGAACGTATTTTTAGCATGTTTTGAAAGCGAAATTGCAAAATGTGTAACTATCCCCCGCAGCGGAATTTTATAAGGAACAGTTTAAAAAAAAAATCAGCCGGAAAGGTCGCTTCCTCGTCTCATAAAATTACATTGGTGTTGTCGTTATGAAATCGAGAAGACTGATGCGCTTGCACAATGGCTTGAGTTTCACGCTCTCCACCACAGGACACCACAGCGCTTGTGTCGTCTCTCCTACTGGTGGTGTGCCGATAATCTAAAAATGCCTTTCAGCATGGTTCAGTACCGTACTAAGAGTATGAAGCGCCCGAGCTTATATATTTTACTTTTACATATGTATATATATTCAATATTAAATTGTTAAGAAACGTCTTGTATATGTTAAGATTGTTTATATTGCATTGCAATTAATTGATACAGAATAGTCTGTTACGATAATTTCAAAGAAGTAAATAATACAAAACTGATGTGATATTTGTTCGGGAAGTAAAGTGAACACGATATAAAACTCTCCTTTGACACAGGGAAAAATACGAATTTATTTTAACGTACCAAGGTGTATAACGATTGATGTTCTCTCTGATCGTTCGTGCGTCTTCGAGTTTGACAAATCGAAATCTGGTTCCGCTTCACTGGGTGACAATCGAAGATACCTCAGACTACCACTCCTCACCCTAGATGCCACCCCCGTCAAGTCCAAGAGACGCGCTCATTGGCCTTGGTTTTGGGACCAAGGCCCAATTAGGGCGCCCCTACCCTTACGCGCACCCCAGTCGCCGCGTCCCCGCTAACGGT